GGTTGCATATCTTATATTTAAATAGCAAAATTGGCCATTTAAGTGCAGACTAAATGTATGATCTGAAAAGGAATAGTGGAAATTAATCAACAATCTCTACTTAAGTAGGCCATCTAAAATCCGGCCTAACAGTAGCTAAATTTGAAAACTAGTACACATTCTTTCAGGCTTTCAACACATACTCCTATAATAGTTATCTGCCCTTTCGCTAGTTTTTTGAATGCATGCAAAAAACGAGTTAGGCATCATGTTATCCAAAATGTGCGTGTTGATCTTGTCACGCAAATGAAAGGACCTACAGTTCTAGGTCGCCTCCGAACGGCAAATGGTTTTTATGAGAAGCGATTTCATGGCAGAAGTACACTCGGAGGTTTGAAAATGCGACGACCGCAGATCGGGAATTGCGTAGGGCACCATTTGCTGGAACTTTGTATGGGATCTGGATGACGGTCTTCCTAAAATAAATTTGAAAAATTTTTTGAAATGGTAACTCTTCTGACTATGAATTTTTGAGGAAAATTATCCTTTTTGACTATTTGAATAAAAATATTTAGCAAACCGAAGAAAAGTTTAACATTTTAACAGGCAGGAAAAACTTAAGCAATTTTGCTTAAATTTAAGCAAAACGGCAACGCTGGTCGCAATCCCTAGATTATGAATAGGCTTGACTATTGCCTCTGGAGTGACATTGTTGAAGGCTCCCTCGATATCAAGGAAGGCCCCTACTGCATAATCTTTATACGTGAGGGCTTCCCCTAACCACTTTACCAATATGTGCAGGGTGGTATCCACCGGCCTTTCCTTGCAATAAGAATGTTGAGCGCTTGAAGACAGTCACAAGAAATCGCGTTTCTTATGTACAGGTCTATCAGCGTCTCTAGTGTTTTTAGTAAACACGAAGACAGACTGATAGGCCTAAAATCCCCTAGGGGAAACATAAGAGCCTTTCCGGCCTTAAGGATGAACGCAACACTGCTTACCCTCGCAGCCTTGGGGAAGTACCCAGTCCTCACGCAGTTCTCATAAATAGGAGCCAACCAATTACATGGCACCTCCAGAGCCTTTTGCAGCTGCGCAGGTATAATGCCATCGGTCCCCGGCGACTTGAAGGATTTGAACGAATTTATCGCCCAAACCTTGTGACGATCGTTTAATCGTTCGTTTATTATTTAAAAAATCAAAACTTAAACTCACACACACATTGGGTAGGCTCAGTAGGCGCAGCAGTTGAGCGCAACCGTTGCTAAAAAAATCAGTGATCGTTATGCTTCTTCTGAACGGCTTGATACATTAGCTGTCAAATTCAACTCTCAAAGGTACACACCAACTTATAGTCTGAAATGATCAGAAAAATATTACGATCCTCTAACACGCAACTGTTCAGTTGATCAGAAGTACACAATAACGCGTTCAGAAGGTGCAATCGCAACAGTTACGGAGCTGTTGCGTCTTCTGAACGTGCCCATTCTCATTTTCAATGTCATTATTATTTTCATATTTATGTAGTTATCAAATGCTTGCAAACGTAAGAAAAAAATTACGACCGACGAATTGAGAGAATGAGCTTACCCTGTAATGTTTTTTATCACGTGCGGGAGGTTAATGTTCGATTTCAAAAATGTTCGGCTACAGATTTACAGTAATTCATCAAAAGTGGGCGGTACCAGGCCCATTTTCCAGAAATTTTATAATTTCAAAAATTTGCTTATAGTATTTACAGAAATATCATAGTTTTTGCATATTTCCGAAAATATCGTCATAAGGTAGGTGGGCGGGGATACCGTGCGATTTCGTCCATTTTCAATACCAACCTACGTTGATTAAAGGGCAACCATCATACTATAATTCGTTAAGATATCTAAATTAAATATAAATATAAATATTAGACATAAAAATCAATTATTAGCTTTTTATTGTATTGTAATATTCCAAAACATCAAAAAGGTTTTGGGCGTGAAATCCATTGGGCTAAAAAATTGCAGAATCTAGTATTAAGTGAAAACTATTTGTAACGCAACAGCATTTTTTTTGTACATGAATTGTAAGGTAAATCGGTTTAGTAGTAGTTAGAAAGAGATCTCATTTTTCAAGCAACATTATCCCACCCGACCAACGTACACGAGAATGCATCCGTTTGAGATATTTTGGCAACACTTTCGCTTACAAAACTATTTAGAACGACTTCCGAAAGGTATCGGATTAAAAGTTCGTATCGAACGAAAACTATCGAGTATGTGCGTGTATTTACTCGTATCGTTTCGTCCTTAATAAACTGTTTACCAGCTTTTAAAAACATTACGGGGATTCTCGAAGTCTTGCACAGCACAGCAGATAATTTTATTTTAGCGAGTTTCAGCGGTATTTGTAAAGCAACCCTGCAGTACGGGGGAGCGACTACAGGACTGATGAATCGGTAGCTACCTGGTAAACTCCGTCAATTACCGACCGACTACTTGCAGTGTATTTCATCGATTACTTTAACAAGGCAATGTCCTAGGCGGTAGTCACCATCGGCTCTCTCTGCTACTGGAGGGAATGGACAGGTTCAGAAGGTGCAATAGTTCAATAACTGTTGCGATTGCACCTTCTGAGCGCGTTGTTGTGTACTTCTGATCAGCTCAACAGTTGCGGGTTTAATGATTGTAATATTTTTTTTTTTTCATTTGAGACAACATGTTGTGTGTACCTTTGACAGTTGAATGTGACAGCTAATGTGTGAAGACGTTCAGAAGGCGCACAATTTTGCTCACTAATCCTTGATGTTTAAAGGGTGTTACCATGATTTACAGGCAATTTTAGCAGCGATTAGTGGAATCAAAAGTTGGCTGCCCCCCAACTTCATTGGAAGCGATTAGTTGAAAAGCCATTTACATCAGGCGATTGTTGTTTTCAACTAAAAGTTGCCTGTAAAATCGCCTCATGTATAAACACCGTATTATAACAACGCACATCGGGGTATTGGAACGATTTAGGCGGCCAAAAACGAATTTGACGAAATTTTTAAGGAAACTTCATAAAAAGTTCTATTTAAATGTAACGAAAATAGCGAGTTTCAACGAGTATTTTTTTGTTAATTTTTGTGAATATTAAGTAACTTGTTGTATTCTCGGGAGAGATCGCGTTATTATACCTTGTTCAATTGAAAGCTTAGAAATTTGGCTAATATAGTGTGAAAAGATTTTCCGCAGAAAATGGCAGATAAGTGATATTTCATTACTTAGAAAATGTATTAAGGAAAATTCTAAAAACGCAACTAGTATATAGTAACACTACTTTAGATCTATTTTAACACTAAAATTCAACTTTTTAGATGAATTTCAGGCCGCTGAACTAGAATATGAATCCATTTAATTTTAAAACTTAATAGTTTTCAAGATATTAGCGGGAATGTAAGGCAAACCTAACTGTGTTATATATTTCGGAATAAACTTTTTTTTTCTTTACAGTGGTGTTATATCAGTTATGGATTAAATAAATAGTTTTTGGTTATACAAGCGTTTAAATTTAGATAAATGTCAATTTAGATAAATCTACGATATTTCAGTAAATATTGTATCCAAATTGTTGAGAATTGGTATGTGAAGTAAAATTTTGGAAAAAATAGATTATTAAATTAAAAAAAAAAAAAAATGGGAGTGGCCCCGCCCACTTATGATTAAATGCTATATATCAGTATCCGCTTTACTAATCCGTACCAAACTCGGTATGAGCCTTGCTAAGGCTATATAAATCTAACGTAACTGCTAAAAATTCTTGAAATCGGGCGATAACCACGCCCACTTGCCATATAACGGTAATTTACAGAAACGCGAAAACTGCGATAAATCAATAACTACTGAAGCTAATTCGATTCTTGGAATAACCTCTTAGCATTAAATAAAATTATTAGAATTTTTTTGATAATGGGCGTAGCGCCGCGCACTTTTGAACACAAATGTATGTATATCTTGGTAACCGATTTATTGATTTGTACCAAACTCGGTGCACTTAGTAGCCTTGGTATGGAAAAGCAATGCGTCGAATATACGAAAGGTTCGATATTTCAGTAATTGAGGACGTTAATTTACTCCAAGTTAATACTTACGAAATTCTCTTAACAATAAATAAGAATTTTATTATTACAAAAATTTAGCTTTATTACATTGGGTGCGTTCGAGCTATGGAATAATTACCGTAATATTGCATACTTGTTGCTTTCCTGATTACATGTTGCTGATGCTCAACTGAAAATTTTCTAAAATGCTGCAGAAATTGCGCAGTAAAAATTTTTATGTTGCTTTTGATTTGCCAATGATGAGTAACTGATTGTCAAAATTTTGTTCCTCAAACGTTGACGTAGGCAGAGTGGGTCAAATCTCTCTCTTTCATAAAAAGTAACACTGCCGCATTAATTGCACCTCGAATACACTCTTTTCTTACCTATACTGTGATACATATTTGAATTAATTAATTCCTTAGATTAAAGTTGAATTTGATTTTTTAAACCCTGGGAGGTTGCATAGAGATAGAGCCTTTTCAAACCCATTTCCGTTGATACCCATATTGCAGCAATTCATTTAACTAATTGAACAAAAATTTTTTTTAACAGGTGGCAACTCTGTTAATGTTTTAACCTATATTTACTGGATTTTAAAACCATTTACAACTCCATATGTCAAAGCACGTCTTTTCTAAACATTTCGAATTGAAATATTCATAAAAATAATTTTGGCCCCTATGTGAAACGGTTGCGCTCAACTGTTGCACCTTCTGAACGTGCCCAATGTGAAGCAAAATGTAATGAACCAATGCGGGGTTTGGGCCATAGGTATGTAGTATGAAGCTGAGTATTTTCGATGCTGCATATCGTTTAATTTTATTTTATGGTATGCAAATCTAGGGTGCTGAAAAGTTCGAACCAATAGTGAAAGCTTCTTCGATTCTTTTTAAAAAACAAACCAATTCTTCAACCCTCTAAAAAGTGCATAGAGTTCGTTTAATTAGACTACTTGAAAACTTACTTATTGGCGTTGGTGTTGGTTTGTCACTATTCGTCTTGCCAAATGTTGTCAAAGCTGTCGAACTGACCCCGAAGAGTACAATGAACACACCAAACAGCATTGTCAGGCTGCCGCATTGTGTGAAACGTTTTAGAGGCTGCATTTCTTTTAAATTAATTTCACAACTTTTCTCTTCTCTAATAATTTCACAAAGAGTTTGAATGTTTTTGTGTAAAGCAATGTCGTACTTTTAGCGCAGTTCTTAAGAATTGTTTTTTTTTCCTGTTTGATAATTCCACAAAACCGATAAGAATTCTCCTTTTTGTATATTCAAATACTGCAAATTTTTGCTCCTCAACTACGCAGCATTTAATGAGCTAACACTTCCCGTTGTGGTGCTGCGAAAGCTGGCGCGAAAAATTTGCGTTTGAATAAATTTGTCCAGCAACTGTGGGCGATGTGCTCGTAAATAAATGTGCAAAACACTGAATTTTTTTAATGTTACACAGATTTCTGGTTTATTGATTTTGGTACATTGAACGTAAGTTGTTTCTGTCCAGCCTAGATTTCAAATTAAACGAAGAACCTTTTGAGCTCAGATTCCCCACAGTTTTTTATTATGCATGTATTTTGCGCTGTTTTGTTGTTGTTTTAAACTTTTTTTTTTTAAATGTATGGCTAAATTGTTCACTCGTGTCAACTTTTTATATTGTGGACATCAAAACTCTGCTGATTGCCAAATATTCATTTTCGCTTCGGGGAGAACCCGATTTTAATTACTACTTGTCGCTTGAACGTTCTGAATACAAGTGAATGTTTTTGCATTCAACTCCAAGTTTAAGTTCGGTTTGCTCTGTAGGTTCTTGTCTCAACTCACGCGCCATTTCCTCTCTTGCTGCTGCACTTGACACGCCATGCCAACCAACGCACCGAGGCGAACGGGGATTGTATGAAGTACCTCACAAATACAAATGCATGTATGTACTGGTAATTGTTGTAAAAGTACCCTTAAAAGACTGGTAGGCAAATGAGTAGCTGGACTAAAAGGGGTCGACCGTAGCGGCGCTTAGTTTACCTGGTAGGCGCATATCGGCTATAAATCGTGTTCGCAAGAAGTTACTTGAGCGAAAGAAAGTGAAAGATTTAACCATTTTTTCCCCTTATGTCGGGTTGTATGTATGTATGTATGTATGTATGTACTATCGTGCGCCTACCAGCTTTTGTTGCGATTTTTGTTGTTGGTTTCCAACTTCTTTATTGCGCTCATTTGTTAGCGTTACCGTTTCCATTGCTAAAGCATTGCCAAAGCGATTGTATTCGTGTCACTTAGGCGCATGATTACCATACATTCTTAGCTTGACTACCTACGACCTCGGCCTCGTCCTGGGTAACGAATTGCATGCACGCTTACGAAACACCGAAATCTAGCGAGGTGACGACGATGACGACGCCACGATGTTGGCGGCAATGACGAAAGGCACAAAAGGCGAAGGCAAAACGCCAAAGGTGAAAGTGGCCTCCATAATGACGGTCCTACTACAAGCAGCTCAGCGGCTGAGTGATTTGGCTAGCAAATGCCAGACTATGCTAGAGTTATGGCAACAACAAACTTCACATATTGCTTATGTAAATAAGTATAAGCATATGTAGGTATAAATAGGTGTGTACATATGTACATACATATGTATATAAGGTATGCACTTTGTATAAAAATTTGAGTACAATTTTGATGAAAGTAAAAGTAACAATTGCCAACGGCAATCAAATTCGCGAATATTGCTAATGTAATGTAGTATTACAACACCGAAACACGATACAGCATGGCAAAAAAGTATGGTATACGCCCACTCCATTCACTGAGTTGCCCAGTGTGCGTGCATGTTTATTTTGCCGAAAATATTCTTAGTTCCATTTACATACATTTGCATACATCAGTGGCGGATCAAAGATTTTGAGAAGGGGGTGACGGATCCATACATTTTAATCTTTCAAAATCAGCAGCGTAAACGTTAATTCTTCCGTGCAATGCAGTGGAGTGGGGCTTCTGAGAATGCAGTCAAAACCCACGAAGCAACGAAACAAAGATGGCGCCTTCCGCGGACCGCTAATTCTCTCTTTATCGATTTGACAGCATCCACCCTTTTGTTGACGTCACATTATTATTTTTCTTTGCACTACTAAATTTTTGATGAATACTAAATTTTCATAATGTACCTATATGTAGAAAATTTGTACCTAAAAGTATCCACGTACCTAAACTGTAAACCATTATTTTTATCTGCATATTTTTGATAGTGGTGGGCAGTATCCTCCTTCTGTATCTGATCAACTGTTAGACTTAGATGAAACGATATTTTACTATGTTCCAAATGTACCTAAAGTAGGTTCAAATTTAAGAAGCTGAAGTGTAGGTAACATTCAACCTAGTTTCACATCACTAATTCGCACCACTTGTTGGCTTCTTCCTCTTCTTCTTCAAAATTATTCTTTACACTCTCATTCTCATAATAATGTGACGCCACTCCCAGTTGCCCTCAGCTCGATTGGCGCAATCTTGTATTCTATTATTCTTGGCTAAAACCTACTCCTTTCGCTAGATGCGATGACAAATCCTTTTGGAGTCTTGTGCTATGACAGAAAGAGATGAAGCTTTAGTGGCGGCTGCAAGTGGATGTATATCAAAGAGGCAATAAACTTGCCATTAAAAGGTATATTCAAATATTCTTTCTGGTTTTGGGTGAGGAATTGCCACAAACCTACTTCCGAACCCTTAATGGGTGGGCTGGATCTTACTTCTGATTAATATCATCGTGCAGACCAAAGGTTCTCCTTAACGATGCGAATAATTCTCATGAGATTAGGTATTCACTCTCATCTAAGAAGAATTGTTTTACATTCTCACTGGTATTCTCAGCTCTTATATGGGGCATGTTGTGAATTTGTTTATGACGCACACTTAGATCTAAAGTGCGATCAAATCAAAAAAAATATTTGGGCGATTTTTTTTTGCATAAATCAATTCATAGGACTACATCCAATTAATTGAAATATTTGTTTCTTCATGTTTATATATATATGTACATTAACTAAAAAACAACTGTTACACCGGTTTTTGTATTGCGCTAAATCTGTACGATCGACAAGCAGTTAACTGCCGTATCTGAATTTTGAAATATCTCACTTTAGCTCTAGGTGTGCGATATAGTAAAGATTGAAACTTTATACAACATTTTATAAAGTTCAACAAATATTTAAAGTTTTTAAACTGAGTATTTGGAATTTTTGGGATTTGTAGTTTTATAGCCCGTGCCTTTTTAGTATAGGTATTCAATAGTCGTTGCCAGTGTGGTGAATACCCTTAGGATAATAAAACGCACTTTTGCAGTGCTTCAAGTGCTTAATTGCTGAGTTAACAATTTACGTTGGTTTTTAATAGTTTTTTTGCTGTCGGATTTTTACGAGGTTGTTTTCCATATAACAAGTGCAATTTTTATAAGCTATTAGATCTCTACAATTTTCAGTCACTCAACCAAAAAACATAAAAGTATTCTTATTTACGTTCTTTCTTGACAACAACCTAATGACCAAATATTACATAAATATTCATATTTACTCTCATTTTATTTTCACACATGCCGCATGAGAACGTTTCGTGTAAAAAAAGATGAGAAGAAATGATAAATTCCTCACCGAAAATATTCTCATGAGAACAATATGCCATTGTGAATCACTGTGTGTATAAGCCCCCATGAGAAAGCTTACATTAAAATGTAGGCATTCTCATGTGAAATACTCTCATCGTTTACGAGGACCTTTAGGCTGATGAACAATTCGATGAGGGAGGGAGAAGCTAAAGAAAGTGAAGGACCTTGCGACGTCTCTAACAGTGTCATCAATATCGAGCACACTTTCATTTACTCCCCGACGGAAGACAATGACGAGATGTCCAAATACCTCTTCCATGAGCGCTTGTAACCAAACCGATCATGTTATTACAGACGGAAAGCTTCTTCTTCTTATTTGGCACTACAAGCGATTGTGGGTTTGGGCTGAGAACAAAAAGCCCACGACTGTTTTTTTTGTGTATACTTTAAAATCAACGCTGCAATGCACCCTTGGGGCGAACTCGTGTAACAACAATCACGGAGACCTAGTCACCGATGCGCAATTAGGCCGCTTCATAGAGGGCGTTGCTCAAAGCTCATTTTTGAAATGTTGGTGGACAAAAAAATCTATACCAACAGAGTCGCCAGAAAACACCGCAACTCGTGTATAACTATTGGGTTCCTAATTGCTATCAGTTGCGCGGACAGCTGTTCAAAGTTTACTGTTCAGTAAAAAAAAATGCATTTCCAATATCGGAAGCGAGTTTATGTGTGTTATTGAAATATGTTTTACAACCTTTAAGGATATTCTTGGTTTAAAATTTATTATGTCGGTGAGGAAGCTATGTGTGTTGATTGCACTACAACCGTTTATCAATATTTAATTTTATCGTTTTCTGAGATAGAAGGAATAATTTGTAGTGCCAAACTTTAGAAAAGACCCACGAGAAGAGGATCGACAAGACATAGTCTATTTGTCGATTTCAAAGCCGCTTTCGACAGCACGAAAGGGAGATATGTGTATGCCATGATATCTGAATTTTGTATCGACTTGGAACTAATACGGATTTGTATTACGGCTGTGGGCTATTATATACCAGACAGCTCGACTCCCACTCGTGTGATTTTTTGAAGGGGATGTTTTAGAAGAAAATAAGGACTAAATAAAATAAGGAATAAGGTTCTGCGTTTTCCATGTCGATTATGAAAGCAAACTGTATGGATCTGGTAGTGAGCAAGGAAACAATTTGCGCATTTGCTCCCCGATTCCCTTTAAGAATGTGCAAAAGGGGGGACACTTCGACCTCCTCCGCCCGCCCCGTTCCCTTAAATAAAACTCAAATATGAAATATGCTGTTTTTTTGGTCTTCTCTAGCGGAATATCTTATCAGGAAAATCAAAAGTTAGGTTAGGTTAGAGTGGCTGCCCCGCGCCACTTTGGATCAATTATGTAGACGGTCTTGCATCCTTAAAAACTACGAAACTATACTACGCTCGTTTCGTTACATGGCTTAAGCCCTCTATGCAGCTCTCAAGAAAACGGTCAAGAAAAAATTGCCATTATTTCGCGTGTGTGTCCAAGGAATTTTGACATTTTTGATAACTCACAGCCTGTTGCCTCACTCTTTCCTCAAGAAATAATGGAACGGGCATATATTTCTGTTGCAAACCTGGGTTGCCTTGTGCTCTTTTTTCACGAAAAACTTTAGAAAACCGTAGTAGAAAGCGTAGTAAATTTCTTAAGAACTGCGTACTGCCTTAAGGAAATTTGACTCAAGAAAATTTCTTTGCCATTCTTGTACGTCATTTTATATGGAGTTTTTGCTTTTCTTGAGAGCTGCATACAGGCCTTTAGCAATAAAATTTTGCGACACCATCTAAAACATAGTCGCGTTAACATAGCCACTAACAAATAATAAACCGAGCCGGACTACCATTAAGAACAGTCTCGTTTCAACCACGACGAGGTAGGAGTAAATTAGCATTTGTTTACCTATATAAAGTGAATAGCCAAAAACCTGTAGTGAAGAAAACAGCACACACAAAAGAACGTATGTGTTTATGTGAATACATATATGTATATACGGTGGCGAGAATTTAAATAGGGAAGACACATTTCAGCAGGTTTTTGGCTATTTTTCCTTGTTTAAAAAAAAAGAAGTTAATTATTTCTTTATAAA